GTTGCCAGTTGACTGAGAACTGTCCGTCCGAAGCCGAGCGATTCCTGTTGTGACCTGCTTCAACTTGGGCGTGTGCGCGCCCACGAGAGGCGATTCGAGGAGAGCGTCGGTCCGGGGCAGATCCGGCACTGGTTCCTCCTGGCTCTTGGCTTTTGACCAGTATGCCTCGAGGAGGCCGGTCCGCTTGCGGTCCTCTGCCAGCTTGCTATGGGGGGTTACAAATTAGCCATCTGGGTTCTTTGGCAAAAGGATCAGTGATCGGGCCTCACACTGCCAGCTCCTTGAGCCCGTCGGCATGACGCCAGGCGCGGCCTAGCCTTCCATAGCTTAGGGGCACGAGAACACCGACGGCAATCATGCGCGCATTGCGGGCATCCTCTTCGTCGCAGGGCATGTTGACGAAGGCGCTCAGCCCTGCATGGGCACCTTCGTGGACGAAATAGATGAGATCATCGGAGACCGTGTGCAGGCCGGATGGCAAGCTTTTGTACTCGACGAGACCCTCGAGCTCGATGCCGGGGGCAGCCTGCTTCCAGGCGATTGTGTAACCGGCTTTGACGTCAAAGTCGATTAGAAAGAGCGCCGAGATGGGTGGCAGGTCTGGGAGGGGGACGACCGTGTTGCTGATGTCGGACGCGAGGTTGACGGAGGGAAGGCGTACGGAGAGGCGAGGCTGGCCTCGACGTGAGGGGTCCATGGTGGGTTGCCTGATGTATCAATCGAAGGTCATGGTCGGGGGCGCTACGACATGCGGCTTGCGAGCGAGCTGCACCTCAGATGCAAGCTGCCGGATGAGTTGGACGGGGACGGGCCTTGGTTGGTGTCGGGAATGGCGCGGGCCAGATTGATGAGCTGGAGCTGGGGACGAGTTGGGTCGGACTGCAGCGAGAATGGAAATCTCCGTGGCACCTTTGTCTCGATGTCGTGCAATCGCAGTTGCGAGAGCTGTCAGTCACAGCCCAATTGACGGAGGCAAGGCAAGCAGCACCCGAGACGAGCCGCAGTCGTCGGGGGATCACGCAGGGGGGGGAGTGACTAAGCAGCGAGAGATAGCGATAACGCTGACCGCTGAACGATGAACGATGAACGATGTGGGGGATTGGCATGGAGGCTTGAAGAAGAACAGAAGACATGTGACGATGTCTCAGAGAGGTGTGCCAGGCTCAGGTTAGGTTCCCATGGTCTCTCGCTCCTCGCATAGAATCGCGTCACCCAGGGCGAGGCTGAAATACTACTTGCAAGGTAAGGTACCTACCTACCTAAGGTGAGTTCGTGGCAGGTGTCCCCGAAACTGTGGAAGACTGAAGGGAGGCAGGCACCTTGGGCACCTCCCGTACCTGACAGAACACCGCAGGCAGGCACGTTGTTGGAGGCAGATGGGGAAAATTCATGGGGGAAGCCTCGGCAATCCTGTGATGTGGCTCACTCAGCCAATGAGCAACCTGCCAACATGGGGCACGAGCCACACATCCCACCAGAAAGAGCACCCCGTCACTGTTGCTGTTGCTGTTGCTGGTGCTGGTGCTGGTGCTGGTGCTGGTGCTGGTGCTGGTCTGGCGCAGTTGCTGGCGCGGGTGGCAGCTTCCACTCTCCACCCCACCAGCCCGACCTTTTGGACTTGTGACCCGCCATTTTTGTCTCCTTTGGCGTCCCAGTTGCTTGCGGTGAGCCGCTGCACCCCTTGACCATTCTCCTCGCCCAACCTGAACGAACTGGATCCTTTGTTAGCAAGACTCCTCTTCTTGGTCACGGCTTGTTTTATGATGCGACTCCCACTGCCATACTAGCTCCGACATCTCTCTCCCGGCATACCTTTCTCGCCCCCGTTTTCTCGAGAGCGCATACCGAACCAAAGCACCCCGCCATCGACGCCTCACGGCCTCGTCCTTCACCCTCAACACTTGGAACTTCGTTGCCGCGCGCCCCAGACAGATCCTTGGCCGAACCCAACCCCGTCGCGGGCACCCCGAAACCGCCATGTCCGGCATTCTCGGTTATCTCTACAAGTTCTTCGTCGGCTACTTCGCCCTGACAGTTGCTCTCTACATGCTATCTATCGTCGTTCCCAAGGCCGCCTTCGGTGCGCGTGTCCTTGCCGCCTACGTCTGTCTCATTGCGGCCGCCCTCTACGGTGCCCTCGCCGCCATACTCTTGCGCCTCATCGGCAACCCCGGCAGCTCCCAGTGGGCTACGGCCCGCTTCTTCAAATGGATCATGCTTGTGGCCACCGGTGTCATCTTCGAGATTGAGGACCCCAAAAATATCCTCGAGACGACACGGCCCGCCGTCTTCATCGGCAACCACCAGACCGAGCTCGACGTGCTCATGCTTGGCGCCCTCTTCCCCAAGAACTGCAGCGTCACCGCCAAGTCTTCCCTCAAGAAGACGCCGTTCCTCGGCTGGTTCATGAGCCTCAGCGGCTCCGTCTTCATCGACCGCAAGAACTCGAAGGATGCCCGCGAGGCCATGGCCGGCGCCGCCAAAGACATGCAGGCGCGCAGGCAGAGCGTGTACATGTTCCCCGAGGGCACCCGCAGCTACGCCAAGGACCCGACTTTGCTGCCCTTCAAGAAGGGCGCATTCCATCTCGCCGTCCAGGCTGGCGTCCCCATTGTGCCCTGCGTCGTTGCCAACTATAGCCACATTCTCTGGGTCAAGGGTCTCGTCTTCAACGGCGGGAAAATCCCCGTCAAAGGTATGTTCTGGTGCCGCCACCGGTCATGTTGAAAATCGCTGCTAACCCAATCGCTAGTCCTCGACCCCATTCCCACCACAGGCCTCACGTCGGCCGATGTCGACGAGCTGACGAGGTCAACACAGGAGCTCTTCATGAGGGAGCTCGTCAGCCTGACTGAGAGGGCCCAGGGTCGCAAGATTGCCATGCCCGCCGTTATTGACACGACGAAGACGCTCAAGGCAACGGGCGTCAACACATCCTCCTAGTTCGCCATCCTAGCGACACCAGCGTGTAACAAACGCGAGCACACCACCCTCCGGCCATTGGCGCACACGGGACACGACAGACGACCACTTCGTCACACTATATCATGAAGACATGTCGACCATGGGTAGGGCAGAGCTCGAAACGGACTGGCATGGACATCTTGATACCCCCAATAGAGGCAGCATCTCCTTTTCTCCCGGCCACGAACCCCGGCATGAACGGTGCGACGGGTTTCGAGAGGCCTTTTTCTCCAGCATAGGTTATAGATGCATTGGCTTGACACGGGACGTTTTCTTTCTGCGGACATTGATGGATATTGAGTCTACTTTCATCTTTTGTCGATTAACATCTTCTGATTGACTTGCATGTGAAACATGGTGTCTACGTGATCAGTTGGCCGATGGAGGACTCACAGGATGCCGTGGCTTACATCGTGTCACATGTTCCCGGAAGCGCTCACACGACTTGCCTATCACTTGACAACGCTCGACCATCTTTGAAGCGCATGAACGTCCAGCTCTCTCGGTTTCTTGCCGCGGTGTATCTCATCCAGTGTCCGACAGACTGGCACGTGATGGACGCAATCCCTTTGTTTTTTAGCCTTCGGTATATGTGCCATCCCAGGCCAGGGTTGGCGTGCAACGAAGCGCTGCCGTGCTGAATGACCTGTCACCAACAGCCTAATCCGAAGTCAAGGTACGAATTTGGAATATGAGATATGGAGGACTTGGGTATATCCCGAATCCACAGCCACGTTTGCTTCGTAAATGGTACTGAAACCAAATGGCTTGCCAGGACAATACAAGCCAGACACTTCCAACGGCAATTGGAGACATCACACTTCACTTGAAGTGAACCTACATCAATGCATTCAGAGAAGGAGTCTCGTCTGTGCTATGTGCACGTTGTATGTCGCGACTGTTTGTCTAAGTCTAGACGATGATAGTTAGCATTGTCAGCAACGAAACAGAACAGACTGACACCCGTGTGCACTCGAAACCAGCATTGCTTCGCGTCGTCCATATTTAATTGCCCACAAATAACAGCGGAACGAGATCCTCGATGTGTTTATGGTGCAGTCCCGAAGCCAACATCAGTTATCAAAGCCGTGCAGCACGCCACATGTTCAGATCCCCGAGATGGATGCAGGCCTCATACAACCCAACTTTTGTCTTGATTCATCAGGCGCGCGCCCTCGCTTCAGTTTCTGGTGATGGTCTGTAACCACCCACATGACGGAACTCCAGACAGCTTCTCACGTGTGTCCAGTCTCGCGGGACTGACAAGACGTGGCGCTGCATTATCAACCCAAGTCTCACTGGGCAACCTTGTCTACGCCGGGGCTCGCAGCAAGGATTCAATGCTAGCTTCGAAGGTTTCACAAACCATTGCAGGCTGTACAACAGAGCAGAGCCCTTTCATCATATCGGCCTGGTAGCACAAAAGGCGCACCACAGAAGCCAGCCAGCCACCATCTGCCATGCCGACCCGAGCCCTCTCACCAAACGTCCCAAAGGAATAATCTCGCACCAGCCAAGACGCCCGAGGCCTTGCCGACGAGGCAGAACAGGGCACAAAAAGCCTACCGGTTCATGACGCTTGCGCCTCCAGCGTGCCGGAAGCAACCCCCGGCCCTGGCAGTGACGATCACTCGAACTAGTAAATCGCCGACGCAACCGCGCGGATGCACGACTGGTCTGACAGTAATATCCGGGCACACGGGAGACGAACCTACGGCAGGGATACTGACTTGCACAGAAACATGGTCGCCGTTGAAGGGCAAAGGGGGGCGGGAGAGCACTCTGTCACGGCGAACCCAATGTTGAAGCCTCGACTTGGGGAACAGAGCCCAGGGCCCTCCCGCCCATTGTCCCGCCGCTCGCTCTGCCGCAATTTACAAGATGGCAAGGAGCAGTGTCGGCGCCGTGCACCACGCACCCTGTCTGAACTTGATCGTCGGCATTGCAAGGCGAGGAGAGCTGGCACTCCCGGGACCTTTACCACCTCCCCTGGTAAAGAAACGTAAAAGCCGCGAAGGAGGCTTGTTGCACAGTATTCACCTCTCGCCATCCACAAGGGGGCAGCCACAGGGACCACCCCCCCGTCTCGTCCTGCCGTCCCCTCCTTGTCATAGACTGGCCTGCACGGCACACACCCACGACCCAGAAGCTTCGAAGAATGATCCTTTCATCTCCCGCAGGATTCGAGAATAGAGTACACTGATGTGCGGCTCCAGGCTCTACATGTACGCCCCTTGAGTCACGTCGGCCGGACACTTTACGCGTGGTGGAGGTCGAGCGAACCGAGGGGAGAGTGAGAAGAAAAAAAAAACCACTTTACGCGTTGTCACACCTCCGGGACACTCCGGCGTCGCCCACGCATCAGGGGGGGGCAAAAGGGGCCTTCTCTCAACCCCGTCGAGCACCGCCGCCCGTCCGCCCCAGCCACCTGGAATTTTCTCTCAGACGAGTTCTTCCAACAGTGCTTGAAGCCCTAGCCCAGCCCCTCCCCCAGGTCAATCGTCAGTCTGGGCGCGTCGCCTTTACACATTGCCCAGCAACCGCAGATCTTATAGCTGTCCAAGCAGAACTCATCCCGTCAGGCCGAGACACCTGTCATAACACGGCGAAGAAAAGAGGCCCGAGGACAGGGAACACACCAGAAGGGATCCCATGGATTCCGAGGGCTCTGAAGCGAGGCCTTGAGAGAGAGAGCTGCACACAAAACTGCGGCAGGCTGCCGGCACGGCGCGG